TACTGCATATGCCATCTTGCTCAGTTTGTGTGTGGATGTTTTATCCTTGGCGTAGACAAGCTTCTGCCTTAGTATATTCATGGGTTTGAAGTGTGCACATACACTGTGCTTTTCTGATATTCCTGCAATATATGGAATGACAATGTTGCTTCATTTATTATTTTCTTCTTTGTTATGGAGGAGCTCCTGCTGGGTCTTTTGGGGGGGGGAGGATTTGATGAAGGCCCACTTGGGGATAGCCACATGTTCTGAGAGCTTTTTTGATATGTTTTAGTTCTTTTTCTTTCCCATCTTTGCTGGTAGGCAAACCTTCAGTTTTGGTATGTAGGGTTCTGATCACTCTCATTTTGTGTTCCAGTGGGTGGTGAGAATCAAAATGTAAATATTGATCCATGTGTGGGGATTTTCTTCAACCAACAGAACAACCACTTCATAAAAGCAGGGCACAACATAGAACAAACTCATCAGGATTAGAGTCAGCAGTCCATCTGCATTTAAAAGACAAAAGCCACTTTTTCAAAGACAGCAAAGTCCACATTTTGGACAGATAGGATCGCTGGTTTGAAAGAGGGATCACAGAGGCCATCTATGTCAAAACTGAACAGCCCTCTCTCAACAGAGGGGGAGGGATACGACATCCTCTATCTTCAGTCTACAACACAGTCCTTTCAGCAGTTCCAAGAAGGCTCAACATCCATTTGCCTTGCTCAGGTGATCCTGACAAAACAGATAAATCTCCAGGTGGCCTCAATGACTATCTAAAAGAATGCAAATGACCAGCTGTCTACAAGGAGTATAAATCTTTCCATTCCTCACCATCCAGTCAGGGCTGAAGAAGCTTCTTGGATGAGAAGCGAAACGTCTTCAAAGAAAAACAGGGAAGTCCAGTTGCCTCATGAAAAAGCACATGTGAGATAACTATGACCTGGATGACTGAGAATCTCCAAAGACTAGCAAGGTAGAAGCCCAATTAGAAGTCTAGAAAGGTCAGACTGGGACAGATCATTATCCTGAGAAGGTCTTTCTGTCCGTTGCTACAAGTCAACTCTGATAGAAGGCATATAATCAAAAATTAGTATAATGGTAAATAAAATATTTCCATAATCAATAACATCTATCCCACTGAACACTGGGTTTTTTCTCTCTGCTAGATCTGAGAATCTGAACTGATTATAGAGTCTATTCCTAAATAAGTAACTGAAAGATAAATAAGTCCTTTGAATTAATGTAAGATGATTAGCAATTCTACAATGTTAGAAAATTCTGCTGATTTTGCTAATTTAGAGGGGGATTTCCTAGAATTTGGAATTGTCTTAGACGATATGTGCTAGTCAGTTGTTCCTGTTGTTTTGTTTTGGTTTTTTTTAAAGGAAAGAAATTTCTTGTTCTAGCTTGTGACATGCAGTATATATTCTGCCTATTTAGCTGCTTAGAAGGTTTTGTCTGGCACAGCAGGGTTTTCAATGACTCCCTTGCCTATGCCCTAATAATTGTATTTATGGATCTTATAAACAGACCAATGCTATTTACTGCTATTCACACTGCTGGCTGGCTCTTCCTGCCAGTTCTTCTAGGAAAAGTTTTAACAGCCTTCTCTGAATGTTGGCTTCCACATTTTTCTTTCAGAAAGATTAGCGATAGAATTAGGCTTTCTCTCTCTCCCCCCCCCCCCAGGATCTATCTTGCTAGACTTGCAGCTTCAGACACCATTCTGACAATCCTAATTTCTGTTATTAAGAAATCCTATTGATTTGCAGTGCAACAGAGATATGGAGAGAAACAGGGTTTGTGAGATTCTTTCAACATATTGATCTCACATTATTTGCTAGGCTTTGCTTTTTCTGTGTTTTTGAGGTATCTGCTTTGAATCTTGGCAAAGGAGGAGGTATATATTTTAAAAGATTTTCAAAATGGGAAAATGAATTTTACCGGGGAAGAAAGTCCAGAGAAAATATAGATGGAGGAGTTGAAAACAAGTCCTATTCAGTTGGCGCCTCTGTGAAAAGTGCTGCCTTAGGTTACTTTGATTGGCAAATCCTAACAAAACGTTGCTAGTGCAGGTGATTCTTTTTAGATAACACTACAGACAGGCTGCCAGAAAAGTAGAGCATTGGCAGAGTGCAGATCACAGGTCTGGACCTCCTGTCTAAAATCCAGAGTTCAAAAATCCAGCGACGACAGACGAAATGTGTCTTTAACACCTGAGAAATCATAAACAGACCAGGCTCCACCACCAGGTTTTTTTTTTCATTCACTGCATCCTATTTTTAAATATGTAGTCTAGCCAGTGGGCCACCTAAATTTAATATAGTTATTTTATTCTTTTTTTGCTCAGAGACATTCTTATCCCTTTCCATATTCTACACATTTTATGGCAAGATGTTCACCACAACCTTAGCAGAAACAATCTCAGTTTTATTGGACTATGGGACTTTGAAAGGTGCTATATGGGACTTTGAAAGGTGAGCTGCCTGCACAGAGAGCATTTCTTCTGTTTTAATCAACGTTATTAAAGGCTTGCTTGTTTCTTTGCTAGTTGTGTTAGCTAGTTTTGAAAATTGGACAGCAGTGGAATGTGGCCTTTTCAAAAGGATATGGAGCAAAGCAGAAGATTTTGTACAAACTATAACTATTAACTATACCACTGCATGGAATACTTTCAATTAAAAGGATCTGGCACGTTCAGTAAGCAGATGGTAGATGGACTTAGGCTTAGATCAATCTTTCCCAAACCAGATGTACTCCAAGCTGGATTCCAACTTCCTTATTTCTGTTTTGCCAGCTAAAATCCAAGCAAGGCAGAGATATAGACAAAGGTCATCCTCAACTCATAACCATTCATTTAGTGACCACTCATTGTAAAAAATGATTTGCAATTGGTCTATGCAATTAATGACCATCACAGCATTCCCATGGTCCCATGATCAAAATTTGGGGGTTTGGCAACTGACATGTATTTGCAACTGTTGCAACATCCTGGGGTCACATGGACACCATTTGAGACCTTCCCAGCTGGCTTCCAACAAGCAAAGTCAATGGAGAAAGCTTGATTCATTGAACAACCACATGGATTCACTTAACAACTGTTAAGAGTTTCGCTTTACAGCCATAGCAACAAAGGTCATAAAAAGGCCCAGCTCACTTAACTATTGTTATTCTTATCAACATAAACTGTGATTGTGATTTTTAATTTAAGGATTGCCTGTGTAGCAATTGGCCAATTGCTTGCTTAATTTAGAGTTGAACGTCCTGAATAAGGTCCACTTTTTGACTCCAGGTTATCTCTGAATTCTCCTGTGGTGATAATGGCAGGAAGTAGATGCACATCATGCAGCTGTTCCAGAGCTGGTTGACCTTAACGTTTTTGTCTTATAGTGAGGCTTGAATACTGAAGTAGGTTCTACATAGGAATAATTCTGATGGATGTCTAGAAGCTTCAGTTAGGCTATTGACTAATACATGATCCAGCAAAGCTTGCATTGTTGGCAGTCCTGTACTACCTACTTGCCAGTTGCATTTAGGTTGCTACTTAAATTTAAATAGTTGGTTTTTACCTTCCAAGATCTTAAGCAGCTTGTGGTCTATGCACACATGGAACTGGCTATTTTAGAATGAGCCTGTTTAGACATTATGATCAGCAGTAGAGCTCTCTTAAAGACATCTTCATGTTGATAGGGGAGATCTTTCTCCTGTGCAGCTCCCAAGTGCTGGTATGTGCTCCCTGGGATTTGTGGCCAGTCCCCACTTTTTCTGTTCTGGAAAAGAGCCAAGATCTTCTCTGTCACAAAACTTTTTTCCATCTGAATTAAATGATAGTGATTTTTAACCAGCTTTATCCTAGTTTAAACTTAAAAAAAAAAGATTGTTAAACTTTGAGTGGCCTTTGGATTCCAAAAAAGCAGGAATGAATAATGAGGACTAATTTGGCAAATATCAAGCTGTAGTAAACTACATCATATGTTCTAATTTTGAAGGCAGCATCAGAAATCTCCCCAGGAGCATTATAGAAATTTGGGTTGATAAGATGTGCATTCATTAAATCAGGCTCTTTTCTAAAAAGAGCCTGCAGCATTTTTCATCTTTGCTCAAGTCTTGCGGGAATTCAGTGCCTCCTTTTTTTTCCCCATTCATTACAGAGAGAATCACTACTAAAAAAGGCCAGTGTGCAAGGCCTCTATTTACCTGTTGTTCCTACCTGTGAGACACTGCATTAATAACAGCCACTTAATAAAAAAACACTGACCACATTTGCACAGAATGCTTAATTTAAAGTGTATTAGCCTGGGCTCATACAAAATGCTGAAATCATAAATTAACTTAAGAGGTAGAATCTAACACAAGGCTCTAAGCAAAATAAATAAATAATCGTATTTTGAAGTGAATGCAGATATACGTGGTTAAACATGTTTTGCAAATGCACCCACCGAATGCCAAATGTGTGCGTGAACGCGAAAAGCGCGTGAATGCAAACGCACCCAGGTTTGTCCAACCGCAGTTTTGTATGATGCTGAATTCTTGGTACCTTTCTGAGGCCAAGCTGTTAAAACCATGCAGGGTTGGAGAGCAAGATTTTTGAAGAGATAGTCGCCCTCCATATGGACCTGCTTGCAGACCTCTCAAAGGGCGACTAATTGACAATCAGGGGGGGGGGGAACCGACCCATCCTATCCTGCAGCTCGCCTAATTTTAGACGCATCCTAGCTCTTTCTTCTCTCCCTTCCCCATAAATAAATATATAAAAAATATATATATTCAGTTTTACCTCAACGGTTCCCCCCCCCTCCTTCCGCTGCCTCCCCGACCGGAGGGAAAAGCGTGGAAGGGCCCAAAGGCGAGGAGCTGGCTTTACAAGAGACTGAAAAAGGGACAACCTGATTTGCATGTAAACCAATCGAGGCGCTTGGCCAGCCAATTCGCCGAACTGCCCAAACGCGCTTTGACTTGCTGACATCACGCGGGCTCATTAGCATGCAGGCGAAGCGAGGCGAGCTCTGCATCGGCGAGGGTGCTGAGCCCCGGCGCGCGCGAGCAGCCGAGCCCGCCCCGGGCCTCGGAGGCGGCTGCTGCTCTAGCCGCTCGGATTCGGCGAGGGAGGGAGGGAGCGAGCGAGCGAGGATGGGAGGGGCTCCGGACTGGACCCAGCCTGGCTGGCTCGAGCCGGTCATTCGCTAAATCCAGACCGGACTGCTCGGGATTGCTGGAAGAGGCAGCCGACTTGTAGGAACGCAGGAGCGGGGCGGGAGGGCGAGAGAACCCCAACCCCAGCTCGGATCCCGGGGAAAAGCGATGCTGAGCTTTGGAGCCGAGGCGCGGGCTCACTCGCCCCCACCGTCCCGCTGACGGGCAGATATTTTTTTTCTTCCCCCCCTTTCAAGCCACCCTTATGGTTTCGGGGTTTTTTGTTTTTTTGTATGTGAGTGCGTGCCTGCCTACCTCCCGAGAGGCTTTTTTTTTTTTTTTGACAAGAAGCCTGCTGTTGCTCATTTGGAGAAATCTCTCGCTAGCGACTCCGAGGCTTCTGCAAAAACAGAGCGAGAGAGAGACAGAGAGGGGGGAGCGAGATACTTAACCACGCTGTGCTTTTTTTCTGGGGCTTTGCAAGCAGCTAGTCCTCCCCGAAGAAAACTAAAGTCCGTTTGAAAAAAAAAAAGGTAACAGTCGTAATAATAATAATACTAAAGACAGAAAGGAAAGAATTCGTGGAATTGGCGAGAGAGAGCGAAAGAAAGAGGGAGAGAACATTCCTGACGTTGGGAGCGTTGGAGCGGCTGGGGACAGGTAAGGGATGCTGCTGGTTGGGGAGTTCGGTATTTCCGAGGGGGGGGGTCTGGTTGGGAAGCTTCGCAGTCGTAGGATAGGGAGCGAGTCACGTGACAAGTTGGGCTTGGCTTCTCCGCTGGGTTGATTCGGAGCGCGTCCGGTTTGGAAGTGAGCTTCGGATTGGGAAGGCAGCCGCGGTCGAGGATGGCCGCTTAAAGCGGGGCAAGGCTTTGCTCGATGTTACTTTGCATCGCTATCTCCAGCTCAGCTCTTGAGACTCGGAGTGGCAACCGGAGTCTCTTTTTCCGTAGGAGGAGGGAGCAGGGTTGATCTTCTGCGAAGTGCGTGGCAGGCTGCCAGATGTGCAGAAATAGCCCTCAGAGCAGCCTTCCTCCTCTCGGATATTATGCCGGGCTGCTGTGCTGTCTGGCATTGCCACCCTTCATCCGGAAGGCATCAGGTTGGAAAAAGATTCTGTTACATGGTTTGTGGGTGAGGTCGTGTGTGGGTGTGTATTCCCGTTTCATCCCATCTGTTCACTTTTCTTTCCTGCAAGAGTTCGTCATCAGAAATGTTAGTGATTTTAGAGTCACTAATTTAATGGTTTTATATTTATACAGCTAGGAACAAGCCGTGTGGTGGTGGTGATGGGTGATCATTTTCCTGAACAGCCAGCTATGTTCTCTGAAACTTAGGAAGATTTTTTTCCCCTCAGTGGTTTGTTTGTCCTGCTTCTTCTCCCTCAAATCAGTTTCCCCAGACTTGGTTCTTGGGAATGGAATGTATTGGAAATCAACTCCCATGATTGACAACCTTTGAATTATGGAATCATATGAAGATGCCAGTGAGCCTAGCTTGAAAAGTGCTCCTTCCTAGTTTTTGTTTTGTGGTAGTGTCGATGTTTTCTTTAACCCAGTTGTTCCTTGTTAGTGGTCTGTCCTGAACTTATCCTGCTCTTTTTTTAATGGTATTTCACATTCCGCAGAACAGTGCCTGGAGGAAAGAAAATCAGGGTATCTCATTCCAAGAGTTAAATGGGTGGTCAGAGATAGTTGTGTAGCTTTTCCACTGAGGGAGAAAAGTCTGTGCATGTTTCATCTGATTGTTGAAGGATGCTTTTCCATTATCTTCTTGTCATGAGTTTGGGGCCCCTCAACAGAATGATTTTCATTTGCTCCAGGTGATGTGCGAGTTCTTCCCCTGAATGTATTCAAAACCCTGCTCATCATAAGGGACAGCAAATTTTTGAATAAATTACTATATTTAAAAGACTCTGAAGCTTTCTGATGTTAGTGAACAAGTCAGGAACCCCCACAACCATTTATGTGTGTTTTGTTAATCTTAAATCTCAGGAGAGTTTAAATACACAACCTTCCTCTACCTTGCACATGAAGACTGTCCTTGTTGTCGTGGTTTTATATCAAAAATAGCACTGAGGCTGTGGGAGGCGGCGGGGAGGAGGGTGGGGGTCCTTGCAAAACAATTTCCGAGAAGAATTGCCAGAGCAAACATTCGGAATGGAATGTCTAAGATAGTAAAAGGGTTTGGAGGAAGAGAAGCACTGTGAACAATTGCAGAGTGGTAGGAAAGGCATCTGATGCTAGTACAAGCTAACAGAGTGTGGTTAAAAGCTTTTCTAAAGCTTGTCATCATTCTAATGCAACATGGCTTCCAAACAAGAGTTTTGTGTCCGGTTCTAATTCAAGAGTCTCTTTCATCTCATCCTCTGAAGCGCCAACATAGGTGGTGGGAACCTTAGAGGATCCAAAGGCTGCTGCTTGCCAAGGTGGCACGGTGAGATACTATTGTCTTTGTGTGCAATTGTAGAACTCCCAACTTGCTTTCCTTCCCCTTTAGCAGGAGTGCACTTATAAAGCTTGCCATCTACCATCCCCCCCTCCCAAGTTCTCTTCCTTGGCAGCAGATTTAGCTATGCATCAGCATTGAAAATGTTAAAGTGCCTTCATGCTAGAGTTGCAGACATGTAGATGGACTCCAGTAAGGTTTAAAACAAAGCAGGAATCTGGAAGATAGAATAATTCATTCATGGGGAGGGCAAATGGCTCTGTTTATCTAGCGATGAAGGACTTTATTGAGTTGCAATGCTATCTTGCTGATTCAGAAAGTAGGTTTAAAAAAATGTGCACACGCGCACACACACCCAGCATTGCAAGCCTTTCAAAGCACACTCATACTGCACAAAGTGCTGTGGAAATAAAGTATATCCAAAGGTCCATTTCTCCCTAAGATTTCTCTTCCCCCCCCCCATTCTGCCTCCTTGCTAAAAAGTGCATTTAAATGCTAGCATCTGCTCAGTGCACATGACGGTGCGGTTTGCATTGCTGGTAGATCTATGACAGCTCTTGCTAAGTTTGCAAGGTTGCTTGAGGTTGCATTTTACAGCCCTCCCATATGAAAATTTTTAATATTACCCACCTTGCAAAGCCAAGCATTCAAAACCCTTGGGACAAACCTGGTACAAGACTATAAAAGGAAGATAGTAGGAATCATGATCTGATAGATGCACCGGGAGCCTTGCAAATGGATATTATTCTCCGGCATGTATTATTCCCATTTGTCTTAAAGAGCTAAGCTAACTTCACACCCAACTTTGTTGGTGGGGGAACACTTTGTAAGTTTGCAATGTTGAAAGTGTGTCACTTGAAACATGGAGAGCAGGCCGAACGATCCCCCACCACATCTGTAACCTTGCTCTGCTTTCATCCATCACCACCATTTGCCAAAGTTACCCTGCATGTAGGCACAAGAAACAAAAATACAGGGTTGGATTGCAGAGCATCATTAAGATGCCTTTTGTTCTGTGAGATGCAGCCGTGGTTGCAGTGGCAACAAGCTCTGTTATGACACTGCTTTTGAAGCTGTCTGGCACAGACCTGCTAAGTAGGACGTTCCTTCCTGTTCCCAGCTGTGAACCCAATCAGACCCTCATTTCCCAATAGCAATAGTGCTTTCCATCCTCCCCCCCCACCTCCTGCCCCCACACAATTTTCAAATTATAACTGCAGAGGGATAGTGCTTTCAAAAGCTTGCTATCTCTGACTCAAAACAAAATGTAAAGGAATTTAACTAGACATATTCTGGCTTTCACATGTGACTTGGAGAAAAGCTTTCAATGCTACAGCCAAAGTCTTATTGTTTCCTTGGTCCCCGGACAATTGCCCCTACTGTAAAAATGTGAAGGAATTAAACTGAGATAACCACAAGAATTATAGGGGATGCAGCAAAAAAAAAAAAAGGAGAAGAAAGCACTAAGTAATCATCTCTAGTTAGAAGTCCAATTGAATTCCATTGTATGGAAAAGAACTCCACATTTTGTTCTGACAATTTTGCCCCATAAGGTCAAGATGCATTTCTTTATTTAATAATAAATATCTTAGATAGAGCCATGGCATATAGCAGAGATAAGTAACCTATGTGTCAGATATTTTGAATTTCAGCTTCCTTAGGCTCCAGCCAGTAGTTCTATTGGCTAAGGATCATGGGTATTAGAATCCGAAATGGGAACCAGCAGCTTGCTTATGTTTGCCATGTAGCAGTGGCCTATCAAGATGTCCTTGAATTCTGGATAGTATTTTTGGCAACCGTATGGGAGTGGCTTTTAATTCTCCATATATGACAGCAGGCAAAATTCATTACAAACTGATCTGTTTGTTTCCGGAAAGACTGGAAAATCTTGAGCTCTCTTCAGTTAATTAAGAATATAATATTGGAAGCAAATAATTTTTCCCCCTCTTCAGTCTTCCTGTATTGGGGGATCATATTATTCCAGTTGCTATGGCATAAAAATAATTCATTGGCACCAAACTATAGCCAAAATAGAGACATCTGACAGGACTTCAGCAGCTAGTGTTAATTGGGTTTTGGAAAATCACATCAGTGAGACAGGTTGAAATCTTGTAGGAAGATAATTGGATGCCGCTGGACCACTCATGTTTCCTTGGGATGAGCTTCTTTCCATGATAGTAAAATGGGCAAATCTGGGATTAATGCTTTCTGAAGGTCATTTATTTAGGTTGCCTCTACTATCCTAATTAGTATTCCAAGAATTAGCAGTAAAGGAGTCAGAACCAAAAGTATAACAGAGAGAAAAGGCCAAATTGCAAATGATAGCAGCAGCCAAAGACAATGAAAGTCGGAATACTTTTTTATGCATTTTTAAGCAATGAATAATTGTTGCAAGTCAAAGACCTACTCTGAGCAATAATGTTAAAAATGTCAGAGTCTTCATTTCCTTTCACAATAGCACCACAGCCTGGGCAATCAAATATAGAATTGGGCCTCTGATCTTTGCAATTAGGGGAACAAATTTTTTCTTTCATGAAACACAAAGATATGCTGTACATAAAGGATTGCCGTGGTTCTGATAAATGCTGGGAGATGATCTGGCCCCTAAAATATATACTCCTTTTCTTCAAACTATTTCTTGGTCTGTTTCTACTCTCTGAACACTATCTGCAAATCTATTTGAAGCTGACCTTGTTTGTCAGCAAACCTTTTGGGGCACTGCATAATTTTGAAAGCAAGTTGCAGGTGTCATCTGGCTCGCTTTCCCACAAAACAACAATTATGGGGAGTGCGGTTTTTAGCAACAAACTGATTAGATAGTTCTGGCTTGCTCCTTTAGTCTGCCAGATTTGATTACCTTGTTCTGCACCTGCACACACACACAAAAACACATTTATATGTCAACATACATAAGTATGTGTGTGTCTGCCTAAAATAAAGAAGGGAATAATTATAAAGGAATTAGAATGTAGCAAGAAAAGTATAGCATGATCCATCTATAATCAATATATCCACTAAAAATAGATTTTCTAAAAGTTGGTCATTCAATAGTGAAATAAACTTAAGTATGAATAAACTATATTTTATTTTATGAGATACTCTTTTACTATTGCCAGTTGCCATATAACTTTGGACCAGCTTTTAATTGCATATTAGTTTTTATCTTTCCAAGGATAAGTTACAATGCTTTCTCTCAACCCAACCCATCTCAA